AGTTTTGTGGGTGCTTTATTACGGGCCCAGGGTGCTGGGGGACTCACGTCCCAAAAACCCAAGCCCCCGATTTCACATATGGGTGCTTCCCTCTTATACATGCGATTCACAACAAAGTCTCCAAGAAACAGTTCCCTTGTGATACATTCCTTAGTTCACAGGCAAGATCATAAATCTTCTGCTTATCTTATTTTAAGAGCATTGTATGCTGCCTCTAGACAGGTTAGCATTCTTACTCTCCTGCACTAGTTTAATTATTTACTAAATTCCTAAGACTACCTGCTAGGTTACACACAAACCCAACACACACACTATCAACGGCTGCAAAACTGCTTTTAACAAACCAATTCACACACAACTCATAACTAAACTATAATTACACATTTTGCTAAATTTCATTTCTTTTCCAACATTTCCCCCCTTTTGAGCATCCTTCAGTCCTGCTGCAAGGATGCTCAATCAACAGTATTGACATTAACATCTTCATAACGAGGTGGGGAGTGTTCTCCATTCTGCCGCCCGCAGGTCATCGCCTTCAGCAACCAGAGAGATCGCTTCTTTTCCTTTTCGATCACACCTGGTGGGGTCCGCTCCATGATTCCCGTAGCGGATCCGTGATCCACTTCTTGACGTACACCTGGTCCCCAGGCTGGATGTCGTGGACAGAATTCTCCAGCGTGAGCGGTCTATTCCACTGTAAGGTATTTCTTAAAGAATTCAAGATCTTATTAAGTGACATAACATACTCTGCAATCGCCTGGTCCCCACTCACATGTACCTCCCCTTTTAATACAGTTGCATGATATGGTTTGCCATATAGTATCTCATATGGACTTACGCCTACCTTTTCCCTTGGCTTAATTCGAATCCTGAGTAGGGCCAAAGGCAAAGCTTGAGGCCAGTGCAGTTTAGCTTCCTGGCAAATCTTTTTGATTTGTACTTTCAGGGTTTGATTCATCCTTTCCACCTGCCCACTAGACTGAGGTCTCCAGGGGGTATGCAAATTCCAGGTTATATCTAACAGTCGTGCTAATTCCTGCACTACCCCAGCTATAAAATGTGGACCCCTATCTGATGACAATCCTAAAGGTACTCCAAATCTTGGTATTATTTCTTTTAACAAGGTTTTTACCACCTCCTTAGCCTGATTAGTTCTACATGGAAAAGCTTCCGGCCACCCTGAGAACGTACATACGTACACTAACAAGTATCTGTATCCCTGTGCCCTAGGCAATTCAGAAAAATCAACCTGCCAGTAATCTCCCGGTTGTGGCCCGACTTGCAGCTTTCCCATTTGTATTTGTCTCCTAACTACTAGATTATTTTTCAAACATACTGGGCACATTGCATTAACTCTTTTTGCCATTGTTAACATCTGATTAGAGATTATCTCATTTTTCAAAAATTTTACCAATACTTCTGCCCCCCAATGACATTTGTTATGTTCTGATTCCAAAATAAATTTCATTATGCGAGTGGGTACTACTATTTGTCCCATTGGTGTAACATACCACCCAAGTTGATTTCTCTGTGCCCCTAGCAAGTTTATTAGTTTTCCATCTTCTATTGAATATTTGGGCTCCTGATTCAGGTAAGGGGTAGCCGGATTCGTTCTTACCGGTACCAATGCCATTTGAGTCCATATTTCCCGTGCCACTTGCCGTGCTGTAGCATCAGCAAATCGGTTTCCTCTGTAAACGTCTCCTTCCGCAGTCTGATGTCCTCTAACATGCATTACTGCAACTGCTTTGGGACTATGTACCGCATCCAGGAGCTGTAGCACTTCTTCCCGGTGCTTGATGTTGGTTCCCTGTGAATTCAAAAGCCCCCTTTCCTTCCATAATGCCCCATGTACATGAACCACACCAAAGGCATATTTAGAATCCGTCCAGATATTAACCCTTTTGTCCTTGCTCAAATACAGGGCTCTGGTGAGTCCAACACCTCTGCCTTCTGGGCCGAAGTTCCAGGTAACAAAGCCTTTGCCTCTATTACCTGATCCAATGTTACCACTGCATACCCGGCATAACGAGTCCCATTCTCGACAAAACTGGATCCATCAGTGTATAGTTCCCATTCAGGGTCTTCCAATGGTTCATCCTTTAGGTCAGGTCTGCTGGCATATACTTGTTCAATTACCTCTACGCAATCGTGCACCAGTCCCCCAGCCTCCTGGTCACTGCGTAAAAACTCTGCTGGATTAACATGATTAGTAGTCCTTATTTCAATATCATCCTGTTCTCTCAGGATGGCCTGGTATTGCAACATTCGACTGGATGATAGCCAGTGACTCCCCTTTTGCTCCAAAACGGCCATGACCATATGGGGAACAAACACTTTCATTTTTTTGCCCCCAAAGTCAATTTCCGGGCCTCTTGAATAAGAATTATTGTTGCTGCCACGGCTCATAAACACGAGGGCCACCCGGCACTTACCGAATCCAGTTGTTTAGAGAAGTATCCCACTGGCCTCTTCTAGGATCCCACCTTCTGGGTGAGGACCCCCAATGCCAGTTTTTGCCTCTCATTCACGTACAACTGGAATTCTTTGGTCAGGTCAGGGAGTCCTAGGGCTGGGGCCTCCTTTAGTGCCTGCTTCAATTCCTGGAAAGCCTTCTTTTGCTGTGTTGTCCACTCCAGCCGATGCTGCTTCAAGGCCTCATACAGTGGCTTGGCTAGGAGACCGAAATTCATGATCCACAGTCGACACCATCCCACCATTCCTAGAAAAGATCTCAATTCCTGATGGTTACGAGGCAAAGGAATAGCACATATTGCCTCTATTCGGTTTACTCCCAAATGTCTCTGCCCTTGTGTGATCTCACAACCGAGATAAATAACGCTATTTTTGACCAATTGAGCTTTTTCCTTAGAAACCCGATACTCTGCTTGGCCCAGCATGTTGAGTAATTTAATTGTTAATTCCACACACATTTCCCTTTCCTTAGTAGCCAGAAAAATGTCGTCCACGTACTGCAGGACTACATACAAGGATGGGGATATTGTTACCTGGGTTATCTTCCATTCCTCCAGCTCCTTGGCCAGTTGATTTCCAAGAATAGTAGGGGAGCATTTAAATCCTTGTGGGAGTCTCGTCCACGTAAGCTGCTTCTTTCTCCCAAAATCAGGACTCTCCCACTCGAAGGCAAAATATTTCCTACTCTCTACTGCCAGTGGGATGCAGAAGAAGGCATCTTTAAGGTCAATCACTGAGAACCATTTAAACTCCTCCGATACAGATGTTAACAAGGTATAAGGATTAGCAACAACTGGATGTATGTCTTTCACTATTTCATTAATAGCCCTTAAGTCCTGTACCAAACGGTACTTACCATTAGGTTTCTTTACTGGAAAAATTGGAGTATTATACTCCGATTCACATTCCTGTAATATTCCTTGAGCCAAAAATTGTTTAATTAACGGGGCTACTCCCCTCCTTGCCTCAAGCTTCAAGGGGTATTGCTTTACCCTCACTGGTTGGGCCCCTTCCTTTAGTTCCACCTTTACTGGCTGTGCAGCTTTAGATTTTCCGGGGACCCCTGACTCCCATACCCAGGGTACTACAGCCTGCTCAATTTCTTCTGGAATAGGAGAGGCATCCACTTCCTTGATCACAAAAATGCCTGCTATTTGTTCCTCAGGTATTTCCAATTTCACCCTTCCCCCTTCAAATATTATTTTCACATTAAGTCGGGACAACAGGTCTCTGCCAAGAAGGGGTGTGGGGCAATTTGGCATATACAAAAATTGGTGATCTAATTCCTTCCCCCCAATACTAAGATTTAAAGGTTGTAAAAATGCTTGTTCCTCTAGCTTCCCTGTTGCCCCCACCACCTGTACCGTTGTGTCACTCAAAGGTCCCAATCGTCTATTAAGTACAGAATATGTTGCTCCAGTGTCTACCATAAATTCTTGATCCTTTCCATCTATCTCTAAAACTACCCTAAGATCCTTTTCTAGTCAGCTTTGATTCTGATAGTTTCCCAAAACTAGTGCTTGAGCGACTTCTGCTGGTCCTCCCATGAATCCTCCCACAGGAGCATTCCCCATTGGACCTGTCCTTAATCCTATGTTTCCCATGCCCATACCTCCTCTAACCGGGCATTCATTTTTCCAGTGTCCCAACGGTCGGCAAAACGCACACTGGTTTGGATCCAACCTCCCCATGTTAGGTGCAAACCCAAATCCTCCCCGACCTCTCGCCATCCCCCTCTGTCCGCGATTAGCTCCTCCCCGACCTCGACCCCTAATGGGTCTTCCTCCTGCCCCTGTCTGTTGCATTACAGCCAGAATACTAGCTTGTTGTCTTTTTGCAGTTTCTTTTTCCCTGTTGTTGTATACCTTCCACGCTACCTCCAACATTTTATCCAAACTCCGGGTGTCCTCTCCTTCCAGCTTTTGTAACTTTTTCCTAATATCCTCTTGTGATTGCCCCATAAACAACAATGCCAATTGAAGTTTTCCTGATTGATCCTCTACATCTAAATTAGTAAACTTCCGAGCCATGTCTTTTAATCGTTCTAAAAAGGCAGACGGTGACTCATTCTTGTCCTGCTTGACCGAATACAGCTTAGACCAATTCATAGTCTTAGGTATTCCTGTCCTAATTCCTTCCACCAACAATTCCTGATATCGTTTTACAGCCCTTATTCCCCCGTAGAATTTGGGTCCCACCTTGGTTCCTCACTAGGTACCAATTCATCAACTGTCTCATTTAGTTGTCTCAACCGAATTTCCTCACGAGCCTTTTCTCTAGTGGCTTTAATAACCATTTCCTTTTCCGTGGAATCCATTATAGTATCTAATAATACCTGTAAATCATTCCAGTCTGGATTCTGAGTCTTTATTACCATTTTAACCACCCTTGCCACCCTTTCAGGATCCTCCCGATAACTCCCCGCTGATTGCTTCCATATTACCAAATCCCCTGGGGAGAAAGGCACCTTTATAAGTATCCTTTCTCCCTGTGGTCCCACAGCTTCCCTTAACGGCGCAATTAACTGTGGCCCCTTCTGCCCCTTCCTCCCCTTGCGAGTCCACCCTGCTAACGGAGTTCTTTTAACACTCTCATTCTTTTCACCATCATCACCATCACTATCACTCTCACTAGATCCCATTTTTATAGCTATATCTGCAGGGGGAGCAGGGGGCACATTAGGAGCAACCGGAGCCCTCGGAAGTGCTATACAGTAAGACAAATCTTCCTCAACTGAAGGATACAAATTACGCTCCTTTCTTTTTTTACATCCCACACACTCCCTTTCATCATTCACTTCTAAAACCAAAATACCACACTCCTTTTGCCATTCATCTTTGCGGTACAAAATGAAAAACAAATCCAAATATGGTATTTCATCCCATTTCTCATTTCTCCTTAAAAATTGCATCAAAGACTCCATTATCCCCAATTCCAGTGTACCGTTCACCGGCCATCCCGCTTGCCCAATCTCATATTCAGGCCACCAATGATTACAATAATCTATCATTTTACTTTTATCCAATTCTTGATAATACCCCTCACTTTTCCACCGTTTCAATATACAACCTAATGGTGTATTTCCAGGTATTTTACCATTGGCTTGCACTAAAGTTTTGAAAGTTTTAAAAGACATCATATTACAGCCTTTAATTCCACCTTTAGTCCCAGTAAACCAATACACCTTAAACCAATATACCTTCTCGCCGTCCTTCCCCAAAAAAAAACCAGGAGGCGAGTTCCAGTCCCGCGTCCTTAGACGTCTTATGGCCGGAGCCTAGGCTTTTTACCAACCACCAAATCCAAATCCAATTATCACCTTTTTCCAATATAAAGCACCTTCGGGCTTACCTTGGCAGTTGTCCAACAGGCACAGGGTCGGGCACGAACGATGTCTCCCCGAGAAGTGCTTGGTGCCGCCTTGGAGTGGATCGGGATGCGGAACCGCCCCAGCTGCCTTTGGAGTCCTGCCGCGGTCGCCAGAAAAACTGTTGCCCGATTGATAAATGACACAAAACTCGGATAAGTTTTGTGGGTGCTTTATTACGGGCCCAGGGTGCTGGGGGACTCACGTCCCAAAAACCCAAGCCCCCGATTTCACATATGGGTGCTTCCCTCTTATACATGCGATTCACAACAAAGTCTCCAAGAAACAGTTCCCTTGTGATACATTCCTTAGTTCACAGGCAAGATCATAAATCTTCTGCTTATCTTATTCTAAGAGCATTGTATGCTGCCTCCAGACAGGTTAGCATTCTTACTCTCTTGCACTAGTTTAATTATTTACTAAATTCCTAAGACTACCTGCTAGGTTACACACAAACCCAACACACACACTATCAACGGCTACAAAACTGCAAAACTGCTTTTAACAAACCAATTCACACACAACTCATAACTAAACTATAATTACACATTTTGCTAAATTTCATTTCTTTTCCAACAGCCTTGTGTGCTTCTGGCTCCTTTTCTTCCTCTCTGGATAAAAACATCAGCCCAGCGTCTGATGGCCAATGCTGCGGGTGCTGCCCGTCTGGCTGTGGCCAGCAGCGCGTGCCCAAACACAAGCGGGTGCCTTCTGGACAAGGGGATGGACTGGCACGAGCAGCCATTTTCCCTGGTGAACCTGGGAGGAACCTGGGCAAGTGCAGAAGATTGGGATGACCCTGGCATGAGAGAATGTGTGGTGTGTCTCTGATGATGCTGCCAGCACTGCAAAGGAACAGCCAAGACAAGCACTGGAAGCAGACACATCCTGCCAGTTTCTGCTTGTGAGTGTCTGTCCGAATTTTCCGTCATCTCCCTCATGATCGTCATTGGGGGACCACTGAAGAGAAGACGCCCCTGTCTTGAATCTCTGGCTCCAAGGGAGAAAGTCATATGCCTGAGACCTGAGAGCGTTGCTAAGCCATTGTTTTCACAGGTGTTGTTTGCTGTGTGCTACACTGAGACCAATGAGAAGAAGAACAGGGCACTGCGCCCTTTGTGCAACAACAGCCTTGGGAGCTCTCTCACCTCTCGGCCTGGCTGGACTTCTCCTGAGTTTCAGGTGGTCTCCCACAGAAGACCCTCACCTGTTTTACAACCACCGTGACAGACAGACTGGGATGTAAGGAGCCTCTCCATCAAGGACTGAGACATGGAACCCCCATGTGAAAAGGCCCCTCTGCTCCTTCCAAGGACTGGGACTGAAACCCCCAGCCCGGGGCAGGTGTGTGGGGGAGGCAAGCTGACCAAAGCGAGATGTTTGCCTGCAGGATGTGACCGCTGGACCAAGAAGACAATGGCTCTCGCTTACTGCTGAGAGCATGGACTACCTGTTACATCTATTCCTTATTGTATCTGTTTCCCCCCCTCACAATTTCCAATAGAGTTATCATAATAAAAACCTATGAGTTAGCGAGAGACTTCGAGATCTCCCCGATGTAACAGGCGGATCCTTGACTGGACTGGACCAAAGGACTTCGTCTCTACGTTTGGTAGCTCTATCCCCCTCTTTCTCTCTCTCTCTCTCTCTTTTGTCTCTCTCTTCCCCCATCTTTTTCTCTCCCTTAATCCCTCTATCACATTTTGCTGTGGTCATTCAATAAAAGTGCATTTGTTTTGATTATCATTGCAAATCCCCTTGTACCGTGTCAGTTATTTTTGCACCCTGAGATCAAATCCATGAACCATCACAAAACCCATCCGTGAGGATGGATCGTGACAGCCCCGAGGACCCCTCCCCAAATTCCCCCCCAGCACCCCCAGACCCTGCTAAAACCCCCTCAAGTTCCCCCCAGACCCTCCCCAAATCCCCCCCCCAAACATCCTCAAGACCCCTCCCCAAATTCCCCTCACGACCCCTCCAGGACCCCTCACCTGTCCCTGCGCCTCCTCAGCAGCTCCCGGAGCCCCCCGTCCTCTCCCAGCGCCTCCCCCGCTCTCTCCAGCGCCTCCCGCAGGACCCGCCCGAGCCCGGGGCGGCTCCCGGGGGTCCCTGAGGGGGTCCCGGGGGGCGAGGGGGGGAGGGGGCGCCCGCTCCATGCCCGGCCCCGGGGTCAGGGGGCGCCACTTTGGGCTCGGTTCTGATTGGCTGGAGTGGCGCGGGGAGGGTGGGAGTTGCTGCGGGGAGACGCCCGGTGATTGGTTGATTTCGTAGAGGGCACAGCGATTGACAGAAGAGGGGCGGGGGAGGTGGGCTTTGCCGAAGGAAGGTGCCCAGTGATTGGTTAGATTGACAAAAGAGAGGCAGGCGCTGCTGAGCGCAGATCACCGGTGATTGGTTGGTTCAGCTCGAGAGAGGCAGGAGTAGCTGATGGGACACCTGCGGTGATTGGTTGGATCGGGTGCACGGAGAGGCCGGTGTTCATGAGGGGAGACCCGCGGTGATTGGATGGTTTGGAGCAGGGCGCGCCGCTATTGGCTGGGAATAGTCCGGGATTTTTAAGGGACCTTTCCTGGTTTTTTGGGAAAAACTCTCGGATTTTTAACGGAAAAATTCTCATGTTTTGCAGGAGAAACATTCCTGCATTTTTTGACCCCACATGACCCCAAATAACTTCAAAACACTCGAAATAAACCCCAAATAACCCCCAAAACCCCCAAACAATACCTAACAGTCCCCCAAATAACCCCAAACAAACCCAAATAACCCCAAAAATCCAAAAAACACCCCAAATTAAACCAAAAAATCACAAGATGATTTCAAGCACAGCTAAAAAAAACCCATATGCACTAACATTAACTGCAAGAACCTAAATAAACAAATAAGCCCCAAAAAACCCAAATAAGCCTAAACAAACCCAAATACTTCCAAATAAACCAAAATAATTCCAAATAACCACAAAAAAACAGAAATAAACCAAGTAAAACCCAAGATAAACCCAAAATAGTCCATAAATAACCCCAAACAAACCTTAAATAAACCCAAGTAAACCCCAAGTAACCTCAGTTCTTCCCGTTCCCCCCCAAAACAGATCGCGACCAATCACAACGCGCAGCACTGACGAAGACCCTCTTGCTGGGCGCAAACCCAGAGCACTGGCCCCGCCCAGCGATCTTCAGCCAATCAGCGCCCGGCCAACCTCCGACTCATCACTTGCCGGGCACACACCAAGGCCTCTCACTGCGGTAAATAATCAGAGACTGTGCGGGGTAATTTCCAGCCAATCAGAGCGTGTCTCGCTGATGACTCATCAGTTGCGAGGAGCGGAATTTGGGGAGGGGTGGAAGGTGACGCTGGGGATGGGCTGGAACCCCAAATTAATCCAAAACGGGGTCGGGAGCCCAAAACGGAGCAGGAGGGGCCTGGAGCCCCCAAAACCAAACACGGGGGAGGGAATTGGGGGAATGATTGGAAAGGGGAGGGAGAGCGGGGAAAAGAGGGTCGGGACCCCAAAATTCAGCTGGGAGGGAGATGGGACCCCCAAACAGGATGAAGCCAATTTTGTTCCTGGAATATGTAAAGTACTTTATGGATATGCAAAAAGTCTATGAATATGCAACAGGCTGATGTCATGGGAGACAAGGACCGTCGAGCACAGGTTGTTATGGCCAGCAAGACTCCCCAGTTATTTTTGGGGACAACCCTTAATTTATCTGGCTTTAATTACATCACCCTGTTGAATATTCATTGATCCTCATGCATGTCAAAAAACTAATTTACATATTTCAGGAATTATTTTACAGGGCCCAGCCTTGGCGGTGTCTCCTCATTTCAGGAGCCTCCACTGAAATGGAAAATGTAAACCCCCTCCTCTTGATTAGTAGTAGTAATAGAAATAGTAATAGTAATAATAATTATAATTTAAAAATAATAATTAATTTTGAAATTAAGGGGCTCTCAGGCAAAGATATGGGAGTAGAAATAACAGTTCTTTATTAGGAAAAATTAAAAATACAAATACAGTAGTACAAACAAAATACAACACTGACAGAGTCAGAATCCTCTGGGAATCCAGTGAAAAAGGTTGATTCTCTCAGAATCCAATGGGAAAAGGGCTGATCCTTTGGGAATCTAGTGGGAAAAGATTTACCCTCTGGAAATCCAGGGGAAAAAAGCTGAAATTATGGGAATCCAGTGGGAAAACGTCTGATCCTCTGGGAATCCAGCGGGAAAAGCTGAAATTTTGGGAATTCAGTGGGAAAAGGGCTGATCCTTTGCGAATCCATTTCTTATGCCCCAAAGACAGGGCACAGGAAGGGACATGGAGTTTTTACAGGATATCCCAGGGGTGGAGTTGCGGTTGGGGTCAGGGGAGGAGTTCTTAGCAACACAAGAAGGGTGAGATCAAATTCCTGCCTCTTAGCAACAGCAGAACTCCACACAGAACGTGTCCCCAAATCCTAAATTCCCTCTAAAACTGAGAAATTACGGAACTGCAGATATATTCGATCAATTTCCTTCATTTAACCCAGTTTTGGTGTCCTTAAAGGATGAAGGTGAAGCAGAGGAAAATTAAGGCCAAACAAAAAGTAGAAGCAGCCAGGTGTGTTTCCAACATGGATGACAGGGAATGGGAGTGACCAGGGCTGTGCCCAAAGTGCCTCCTCCAGTGGGGGATGGAGCTGGAGCAGCGCACGAAGCTCTGCCCGCACTCGGGGCACTCGCAGGGCTTCCCTTACCAGTGCCTCCGTAGGTGTTTGGTCAAGTGAGAGCTCTGTGAGAAGCTCTTGCCACACTGGGGACACTCGTAGGGCCTCTCCCCAGTGTGGATGCGCTGGTGAGTGATGAGATGGGAGTTCTGCTTGAATCCCTTCCCACAGTCGGGGCAGCGGAAGGGCCTCTCCTCTCTGTGAATCCAATAGTGCCGGAGGAGAATGGAGCTGGTCTTAAACCCCTTCCTGCATTTATCACACTCGTAGGGCCTCTCCCCAGTGTGGATGCGCCGGTGGGTGATGAGGTGGGAGTTGTGCCTGAATCTCTTCCCGCAGTCGGGGCACTGGAAGGGCCTCTCCTCCCTGTGACTCTGATAGTGCTGGAGGAGACGGGACCTGCTCGTAAACCTCTTCCCACACTTGGAACACTCGTAGGGCCTCTCCCCAGTGTGGCTCCTCTGGTGCACAATCAGGCTGGAGCTCCGGCTGAAGCACATCCCACACTCGGAGCACTTGTACGGCCTCTGCCCAGTGTGGATTCTCCGGTGCACGATCAGGCTGGAGTTCTGTGTGAACCTCTTCCCACACTCCCCACACTCGTAGGGCCGTTCCCCAGTGTGGATCTTCTGGTGCCTGATCAGGAGGCAGCTCAACCTGAAGCTCTTCCCACACTCCTCGCACGTGTGAGGCTTCTCCCCATCATGGAGCTGCTCATGGAGCACCAGCTCCAAGCTCTGGCTCCGTCTCCGGCCGCCTTCCCGGCCCAGGCTGGCTCTTTCCCCCTCAGATCCCCGCCAGTTGCGTTTGCAGCCCCTCCTCGTGCGGCATCTCCGGGCCTTTTCCTCCCCGTTGGCTTCCTGCGCCGTGGAGCCACTCAAAACGGCCTCTTCCACCAGGTTCTGCCGCGGGCATTTGTCCTCCCTGCTCTCCATGCTCACCTCCTGCTCTGGGGGAGGAAGGACAAGGACAGGATGGGATTTGCCTCCGTGCCACAGGCAAGGAAAAGGAGATCACCCCAGGGCGTCCCCAGGAGGATGGCACCGGCACCCACTGATGACCACCCAAGGGGCCTTTTCTGATGTGCCTTGGACTTCTTCATTCTCCAAACATCCCCAAAATCCCCAACCCAGGGACCCCCTGGGATATCCAGGCCAAGCTCCCCCTCCCGCTCACCGGCGCAATGGGGGGCCGATGATCCCACAGGTGGGGACTGCGAATTCAGGCAGGGATCAACCGCGTGGTTCCCTCAGCTCAGCCTCGATCTGCCTTTGTCCCTCCTCTTGCTCTTCCTCCCACTCCTCCCCTTCCTTCCCCCCTCCTCCTCCCCCTCTGTCTTATCCCCACCTCCTTCTCCTCATCCATCCCTCCCCTTCCATCCCTTCTCGTCCTCCTCCATAACACCACCTCCTTCTCCTCCTTCCATTGCTGCTCTCTCTCCGCCTTCATCCCTCCTCTTCAATCTGCCCGTCCCCCTGCTCCTCCTCCCAAACCCCACCTCCTCCTCCCCCTTCATCCCTGCCCTTCCCTCCCTCCTCCTCCTCCCCCAGCAGCAGCCACACCCTCGGTGCCCCATTCCGCGGCAGGAGCGTGGATGGAGCCAGGACAGGTCGGGATGGGCAGCGCGGGGCTCTCGGCTGCTCCAGCCGCTGCGGGCGGGGGGAACCCGGCCTGGGCCAAAGGAGAGGCAAACTGGGCAAACTGGGGGCTGCACATCCAAACTGGGCCTTGCTGGGGACCTTGCCTGGGCACTGCCAGCCCTTGGGGCTCCTCCTGGCACATCCGCCAGGGGGGAACGCACACAGGGCTGGGGGATCCCAGCAGTGGCAGCACTGCCAGGGACTGGGCTGCACTGGGATCGTACTGGGGGTGACTGGGACTGTACTGGGCTTGTACAGATATCATACTGGGATCGTACTGGGATCGTACTGGCTTTGTATTCACATCATACTGGGATTGTACTAGGATCATGATGGGACTGTACTGGGTTTGTACTGACATTATTCTGGGATCATATTGCCATGCCAGGGCAGACTGTGATCTCACTGACACTGGGATCATTCTGGGATCATTCTGGGATCATACTGGGAGCAACTGGGACTTTACTGGCTTTCTATTGACATCCTATTGGCATCATACTGGGATTGTACTGAGTTTGTACTGACTCCATGCTGCCATCATACTGGGATCATGCTGAGATCACACTGGGAGTGAGTAGGAGCCTGGGGGGGGGCAATTGAGACCATGTTAGGGGTAAATGGGATATACTGGGATGAACTGGGATGGTGCTGAGGATGGCTAGGATCATACTGGCAGTGAGTGCGACTACACTGAGGCTGACTGGGAGTGCTTGGGAGCAAATGGGATCATACTGGAAGGAACGGGAAAGATGGTGGAGGGAACTGGGGTACCCTGGGATACACTGGGAGTGACTAGAAGGAAAATGAGGGTGAAAGAGAGCAACTGGAATCACGTGCAGCACAACTGGTTTATTCTGGCAGAGACTGGGAGCACACTGGGCTCATATTTGGATCATACTGGGAGTGACTGGACTAATACTGGGAGGAACTGAGTGTCACAGTGAGCCCTCCCTGCACATCATCCCCCATATTGGGCCTGACTGGGAGCAACTGGGAGCAAATGGCATCATACTGGGACTCACTGAGTTGATTGAGGAACCATGAACCACTGAGGAACCATGAACCAGTTCCATTGAACTGGAACCATGCCGGCGGCAGCTGGGACCAAACTGGGAGAGATTTGAAGTAAGTGGGACTATACTTGTAAAAAATGCATATTTTCTGATTGGATTTTCGCAAATATAAAAATGAATATTATATGTCTTGTGTTAGAAAGTACTGCTGTATTAATTCTCTTAAGTAGTGGGTTAAATATAGTTTTAGGTTATTAAAAAAATGTTAAAATAGAAACTATGCTTAGTAAGAGGCTTTTTTTAAAGAAATGACTTGCAGCGAGATAGCAGCCACAGGACACCTAAATCTTTCAGAGAAAAAGAATTTATTGCTCTCTTATCAGAAGAAATAAACTTCTTCCCGCCTCAAAGGCGCTGTTAGGATTCAGAGGAAGAAGTTGGCACGGACCAGACAGAATCCTGTGTTTGAATGGAATTTATGCATCATGTATGAAGTGCATGAATATGCAACAGGCTATTGTTTTTAATGGTTAATCCTGTGTTAACCGGTGTCCTTTTTCAGGCTCGGGTGTCCTTTTTCAGGCTCGTGCTGCCCAGAAAAAGGTACCCAGACATCCCTAACTCTTGGTATTTATTGTCTCATATTGTCCTAATTGGATTTGTCGCAATTGTTATTACTCTAACATTATTGCTATTTTTTATAACCATTTTATTACTATTAAACATGTAAAATTTTAAAAGCAAGTGATTGGCATTTTTCACAATTTCGTAGCAGAGGACGGTTATTAACACCTCGCATGCCGGTGCTTTAGGAGAGTCAGAGTGGGGAAGGCGCACCCTGCCCCGTTGGCAGCCTCGCTCTGTCTCCCCTGGGGTGGCCGACAGACGCAGGTTATGGTGGACAAAAGGAGACAATAAAACAAAGAGAAGGGAAAAAGGCTCCCTAGAACCGCAGTAATTGGCCCCCTAAGAGTAGTAATGTGCACGAAGAACGCGGGAAGGAAAAGGGATTGGTAAGTATTTCTCGGGGGGCAGGTACAGGGGGATGAATGTGTGTGAATGAGAGGAGGGCTGGTTGTCCCAGACCTGCCAAGTGAGTGCTGGAGTCTCCCACGCTGCGTTTCCGACTTCCCGCGGTAAGTGGCCAGGAAAGAGATGTAGTGAATGTTAACAGGAGTGAGAGAATCCCCCGGGGTAACTGGGACTGGGTCCCAGAGAGGGGCTGGACCCATCGGAGGAAGGGAGCAGAGGAGTTTTCGAGCCCAACCCACTAGGAAACAGGACAAAAGGGGCCCCTAAAAACCTGCTGGGTTGAGGGATAAGAGTTCCCAAGAGCATCCAGAATTAAAACCTGCTGGGTGGAGGGAATACTTTTCCAAAAGCATTCAGGCTTAAGCAAAATTCTGCCGGATTGAGGATATGCTCAAGAGCATCTGGGATTGGAGCACACAGCTGGACTGAGGGATAAAAAAAATGCCCAGGTGTTGGGGAAGATGAAATGGGAAAGCCTTATAAATATGATTGTCTGGCAAAAGATTTTTTGACAATATAGAAACTATAAGCGAGACTGAAATGAAAGCAAGCTTTGAGATACCTTAGTTTCTGAACAACTGGAAAACAATGGTATGGCTGACTGAAGGTAATCCCCCTTTGATGAAACAATTCCCTCTGCTTGCAGACAGACCCAAGGGTAAGAGCAGACCCTACTAGCTCAGCAGAACGGGTCCAAAGAGGAGTTTTAAGGGTTTAAAATGTAACACAGTATGGTGATGTAATGATTCTTATAGGCTGTATGTAAATTCTGTAGGATTTGTATCTTGTACTAGATTGGTTAGTGAGAAATAGAATATTCAACACAGAAGAAGATTGATTGTATTGTAACAGGACCCTTACACTCTTATGCTCTTCCCCTCTTACTCTGTTACCCTCTCTCCCTCTCTACCCCTCTCTTCTCTCGGGCCTGCTCCGAGCTGTGCCTGGCAGCTCCAAGCAGGGCCCTGCACCCAGGCCCTTTGCAATAAACCGCAAGTTCCACGACCTGGCTGCAGAGATCTCTCGTCTCCGTCCGTCCCCGACAGCCAAGGGCATCTGAGGTTGGACAACACAGCTGGGTTGAGGGATATACAAGAGCACCAGGACTGGCCAGAAACACCTAAAATTGTAAGAGGTGATGTGAAAGTAAAAGGTACCTTATTGTTGTCTTGTTGTGTGTGAGAGTGAGTCACACACAAAATCTGCCTCAGCTTCCCGGGCGGGTGGGAAGGGGGGACTGTGGAAAGAGGAGTGTGTGACCCACAAATAAGCCATTGTTCTCCTGGGCGTGTGGGGGCTGTGGCATAAGGTACAGGTGACCTGGAAACGGGCCATTGTCCCCCCAGGGCGTGTGAGGGGGCCTGGCTAAAGAGTGTGAGTGACACACAAATCAGCCTCACAGGTGAACGGCACCGGAGGCAGCAGAGTCAGGGCCCTCCCAGGAGGCCCGGAGATACTGAGACCCAGAGGCCACCCCAAGGTGAGGGGGGGCCACAGGGACCCGCGATTCTCTGTCAACAGGGATCCACTCTGTGTCCTGAGGGTGGGAAAGAATGTGTGGAAGTGAGTGAGAAATAAAAGTGAGTGAATGTAGAGGAATGGAAGTATAGGCACTGTATATTGTGTATTTTAAGCTTCACTATATCTCCTTGGAGGGAGGTGTATTGTACTGAAAGTAGTGTGAGCAAAATGATTTTTATTTTTTGGTGTGTAGTTGAAAGAAAAGTAGTATTTAGGTTGTTAGTGAATGTGAAAAACAGAGGCAGAAGATGAATAGATAAGATCTTGAAAAATGAGACAGAAAACCTGTAAGTTGGATACAGGGAAAAAAAAGAAAAAAAATAGTCCTTTGGGAGTTATGTTTGCTAACAGAGATACAACTCC